GAGGAAGCGTTATTATGGATTATGGACTCTATGGTATTTGAGTTAAAAACGTCTTAATGCTGGATTAGTTTCAGCTTTTGTCTTCTCCAGATGTTAACTGATGGACTGGAGTGCTGTGGATTACTTGTGGATTATTGTGATGTTTTTATCAGCTGTTTGGACTCTCATTCTGACGGCACCCATTCACTGCAGAGCATCCATTGTTGAGACACTGATGCAATGCTACATTTCTACAAATCTGATGAAGAAACAAACTCATCCTAATCTCGGATGGACCGAGGGTGAGCACATTTTCATTTTTAGACCTTTTAGAAAACCTTATGCTATTTTTATAATGAATATACCATTTTGTAGTTATGTCAAGTTCTGAAATGTTTTTTTAGGTAAAACAGAGAGTCAAAAAAAATTATCCAGTAAATACAGTGAATCTGGAACGACTGAAAAATCTGCTTAAAAGAGCAGAAGAACATTCAATCCAAAAATGTATTTCAAATATAATTATTTTAATCCCAGGACACTCCTAGTTTCTGAGAACCACTGACTTCATGTTTTCGGTGAATATGAATTAATCTCTTCACATTTACCGCTGCTGACAGGACTTGAAGTTGCTCCGGTTCTTGCTTTAGATTTCGGTGTGGCAGAGTTTGGTTCAGAAGAACATGATGAACTGGGCTTTTTGGGCGGCGGACCGGTGGCTTCCAGACGCTCTTTACTGAACTCAAACTTCCTCTTCACAGGAGCCTATGAGAAAAACATCAGGAAACACATTGAGCAGCGGTTCTCAAAGAACTGAGCTTCTTTAAGATACTCTGATGTGCTGTTTGGAGCTTGACAGGTACAGCATCATCCACTCATCCATCTGCATGTGCACAGAAGAACGTCTTACAGGTTTGAAGCAACATTTTTCTTTCACTCGATAGCCTCCATCCTACAGCAGGTGCATCATCTTCATCTCAGATCCTGCTGAGATTCACAGTTTCTCAGTTCCAATTATAGGGATATAATTCTGGAACGCTATAAACGGTCAATAGTCCATTGCAGGTGACTACAAAATATCTGCTGCTTCAGCACAAAAACACCAGCATCAGGTTCGCATCGGAGAGATGATTTATGGTCAAAGCGCTGGAGCTAATTTAATAAGGAAGTTAAATGAGCTGCTCATTAGTTAGAGGACAGGAATACGGTTATATAAAAACAATTCATGCTCAGTTCCCTAATAAAGAAACACTAGGGAGTTCAAACACAGAGAGATGGAGCCCAGGACACTTATTAATAAATACACTACTGTTAAGAAGTTTGGGGTCGGATGCATTTATTTGATCAAAAATACAGCAAAAATTGCTAAATGTTATTGTGATTCAAAACTGTTGTTTTCTATGTGAATATCTGTTAAACTGTAATTTATTCCTGTGATGTGCAGCTGTATTTTCAGCATCATTACTCCAGTCTTCAGTGTCACATGATCTTCAGAAATCATTCTAATATGCTGATTTGCTGCTCAAGAAACATTTCTGATTATCATCAATGTTGAAAACAGTTGTGCTGCCCAATATTTTTGTGGAAACCGTGATACGTTTTATTTTTCAGGATTCACAGATGAATAGAAAATTCAAAAGAAACGCATTTATTTTAAATAGAAATCTTTTGTTACATTATAAATGTCTTTACTGTCACTTTTGATCAATTTAATGCATCCTTGATGAATAAAAGTAATAATTTCTTTAATTTCTTGAAAAATAAGCACAGGTACCTGTTGTGAGCTGCTGGGAGACGTCTGTGTGGACGCACCTTCAGATTTCAGAGCAGCAGAGGCATAACTCAGTCTGTCATTCTGAGGAGACACTGGTGGAAACAAACAGGTAGAGAGAGAAATTAAATGACTCTACATTAACTACATTTACTGCTGTTTACACACAGGACACAAAACTCAAATCTGGCTTTGGTGGGAAAACAAAACAGATCAACTTCATAAGAAACAGTAACAGCATCATATCAGTATCATTTTCTGAATGAATAGATAATTTTAGACCATGTGCACAATATATACCAGCAAAAGCTGCCCTGCATCTTAAGAAAAAAATCTGAAAAACTTGCCTATTATGACCTAATTTGATGACGCCGAGTTGAAAAATATCAATAAAAATTTCCATCATGTAGTTTTTTTTACAAAATAAGAATGAAGATTTTACAAATTACATATATTTATCAGCTTTTATGCACTTTTAAAAATGACAAAAGCAGTCTAATATCAAAAGTTTCACTTTTAATGACAAAAAGAAAAATTCAGAATGAATCATTTAACTTAAAGGAGAGGGAAAATATGTTCAAATTTTAAATAGACTGTCAAAGAACTTTACAAAATAAGCATTTTGCACAAAATCTGTGATTTTCTGTGTCTGTTTGGATGCCATAAAAGCAGAAAACATCTGCTCATGGGCTGAGAATTGATTAAATAGAAAGAGCTTTATCAGAATCAGAAAGAGCTTTATTGCCAAGTATGTTTGCACATACAAGGAATTTGTTATAGAGTCACAAGCTTCCAGTACACGGAGACAGCAACAACACGCAGATAATAAAAATGAGATGTGAATAAAATACACATGCATAAATATAAACCACAAAAAAATAATAAATTGTATGTACAGGTGTGCTATAGATGGAATAGGAATAGAATAAAATAAAATAAGTTGTAGGGATGTACTAGGGTTTAGGGTGATAAACACTGGAGAGCCAAACACTGAGGCTGCCGTCTGCGGCGCCATCGCATGTATAATCTAATATATTTAATATATATTTTAATATAATTTAATATATACTATAATAAATAGTAGTAATCTGTCTCAGATTCAGACAGGAATCATGTGTTTGTGTGTTTTTCTGCTGATTAAGGAATAACACAAGACTTCTTTACCACACAAATCTTATTTTGTGAGAAAGTGTGACGTCTTCCAGCAAAACAGACGTTATATTTCTGGAATCAGCAGCTCAATATCAGTAAGAAAAGAGTGTTGGATTTCATACAGCAAATATGCAGGGCTGTGTAATTTTAATCAACCATAAAACACCATGCATGGATTCATTACAAACAGTTTCCATTAATACTGTAATGTGCGTTACCCTTGAGTCCTGTGCTGGCTTTAGCGGAGCTGTCTCTACTGAAGAACAGGCTTCCCGGCTGGATGTTGGAGCCAGAGGAGGGCGACTCGTCTTTGACTCTGAACTGACCCAGTTTAGTGAGTTTCTGTCAGGAGAAAGAAGATCTGTCAGAGCTCACGCCGTCAAACAGTTTGGGATCGGATGCATTTATTTTATCAAAAATACAGTAAAAATTGCGAAATATTATTGTGATTCAAAGTGAGAGAGTGAACAGATCTGTCAGAACTCATGCCGTCAGTTTGGGTCGGATGCATTTATTTGATCAAAAATACAGTAAAAATTGTGATTCAAAGTGAGAGAGTGAACAGATCTGTCAGAACTCATGCCGTCAGTTTGGGTCGGATGCATTTATTTGATCAAAAATACAGTAAAAATTGTGATTCAAAGTGAGAGAGTGAACAGATCTGTCAGAACTCATGCCGTCAGTTTGGGTCGGATGCATTTATTTGATCAAAAATACAGTAAAAATTGTGATTCAAAGTGAGAGAGTGAACAGATCTGTCAGAACTCATGCCGTCAGTTTGGGTCGGATGCATTTATTTGATCAAAAATACAGTAAAAATTGTGATTCAAAGTGAGAGAGTGAACAGATCTGTCAGAACTCATGCCGTCAGTTTGGGTCGGATGCATTTATTTGATCAAAAATACAGTAAAGATTGTGAAATATTATTGTGATTATTGTGATTCAAAGTGAGGGAGTGAACAGATCTGTCAGAACTCATGCCGTCAGTTTGGGTCGGATGCATTTATTTGATCAAAAATACAGTAAAAATTGTGATTCAAAGTGAGAGAGTGAACAGATCTGTCAGAACTCATGCCGTCAGTTTGGGTCGGATGCATTTATTTGATCAAAAATACAGTAAAAATTGTGATTCAAAGTGAGAGAGTGAACAGATCTGTCAGAACTCATGCCGTCAGTTTGGGTCGGATGCATTTATTTGATCAAAAATACAGTAAAAATTGTGATTCAAAGTGAGAGAGTGAACAGATCTGTCAGAACTCATGCCGTCAGTTTGGGTCGGATGCATTTATTTGATCAAAAATACAGTAAAAATTGTGATTCAAAGTGAGAGAGTGAACAGATCTGTCAGAACTCATGCCGTCAGTTTGGGTCGGATGCATTTATTTGATCAAAAATACAGTAAAAATTGTGATTCAAAGTGAGAGAGTGAACAGATCTGTCAGAACTCATGCCGTCAGTTTGGGTCGGATGCATTTATTTGATCAAAAATACAGTAAAAATTGTGAAATATTGTTGTGATTATTGTGATTCAAAGTGAGAGAGTGAACAGATCTGTCAGAACTCACGCCGTCAAACAGCGGGACGCCGGAGGAGCAGCACTCACCGGAGGAGTCGAGACGGGAACATCGTTAGCGTCCGGAGGAGAGTGCAGCTTTATGAAGGCAACTCCGTACGCTATTGACTGCACACAAACACAGGATAAAGACTCATTCACACACATGAGTGGTGCATACGGGTTTGGAGAGTGAATCGTGACATGTTCACCTTGCTGTACGGCTGACTGCACACGATCTTCACACAGTCCCACTTCTCCTGCGCCGTGGCCTTCACCAGCTGGCTCGGCCCGAAGAAACGCACGCGGTTTGTGTTCGTGCCGTTACGGCTCTCCGTGGGTGACATGAAGGACGACGTGACCAGCAGAACCTAAAACAACAGAAAGATGCATTAACAGCACTGAAAATGACATGTTATTCAGAATCAGAACACGTTTTATTGGCTAAATGTGCACAAGTAACTTACCAAATATAAGATTTAGAATGTAAAAACAAAAACACAGATTTACTAATTTACAGTTTACAGCAATATACAGCCATACAAAAAATTCAATACAATTTACACAAACATATGTACACAAATATAAGTTGAGGGTTATGATGTTTTTATTATATTTCTGTTACTTAAAATAAAACAAAATATATTTTTTAAATTATGTTTATTTCAGCTAGCTGCCAGGGAAACACTCATTTTCATTTCATTTTACTTAAAGTACTAACATAACATAAAAATGAATACAAATAGACATTAAAAATAACACACACACACACACCCAAATAAAAATGACAAAAACACAACAAAATTGTTACAAACAAACAAATACTATAAAATAGAAAATATAAAAATAAAAAGTCATTATTCTAAAATGAATTAATAAATATTCATAAAAAATATAATAGCATCTCAATAAACAAGCGTCACAAATAAATAAAATATTAATTATATATACTTATCGTACTCAGTAGAACTGTTATGTTCATGATTAAGATGGAAAGATTTATTATTGAAGGATTTTTTTTAAAGATTTTTTTATTTTGTTGATTTTTTCAAAAGATTTTCACTAATGTAAAGCAATCTATACCAGTGTTTCCCATACATTGATTTATTTGTGGCAGCCACCACAATATCAAAACTGACCGCCACAACTATATTTTCCAAAAGGCTTTGACTTCGTTGAATAAACATGAGCACTGCACGTTACAAAACCCGGCGCGGATATTTTTATATCACTGTATCTCTGAAAGAAACCCAGAGGCGTCATACTTTTTGAGCCAAGTGGATTTTGAATGCAGCTCCCAAAAGAAAAAAAAAAAAGCTATAACCTGATAAATGTGACTGTAATGCATGAAGATATTAAGGTATTATAAACATTAACATCATAATTTACTGTAAAAGCTGCTTTAAATTGATGTGTATGTGAAAATAAATATAAATAACAAATATTAACTAATCTGGATTGTAAATAAATTCACGTATTCTAAACTTTAGCTAAAGCTCTTTAAACTGTTTGATGCTGCTAAAGTGTGAGACTTTAAGACGCACCTGAAAGTCTTGGTCTTTGACTGACGTGGAGTGTCCAACAAGGACCTCAATGAAAGCAGAGCCTTCATTTCCAATGTCTATGCTGTGAATTTGCTCTTCCTTTTCCAGCTGGAGAAACAAGAGACACAAAGAGGTTAACATTTCATTTAAAGAAATCATTAATAAAGTTCTTAAAAGGGCAAGTGGCATCCAGTTACCATTTTGGAAATTAAAATGATTTTATATATTTATATCTAAAACATTTTATTAAATTAAAAATAATATATATATATATATATATATATATTTAAAAATAATTTTCAAAAATTATAAATAATATTAAAACATTTAAAAATATATAATAATAAAAACAAAAATATAAATAAACAAAAATACCTGAAGAATGACTGAAACTTGCTTCTCTCCAGGTCTCGCAGCTTTCCATTTCCTATACGTGTCAGAGCTCAGGAGATTATCTGCTTTGTGAGTCTGTGCAGAAGAATCGATTCATATATTTATTTATTCGTAAATAAACAGAACACAAACTAGAGCCCGACCGATATGGGTTTTTTGGGACCGATACCGATATTAGAAAGTAAAAAAGGCCGATACCGATATATTGGCCGGTATTCTTTGTGTATATTATAGTACAGTACCAGTCAAAAGTTTGGACACTTTTCCATTCGTGTGTCCAAACATTTGACTGGTACTATATATAGAATACAGTATATACATAAACAGAATATATATACATAAACACATTTTTTGCAATGATCACTCAAATGTGGTGATCAAACACTTATAATGACGTGACAGAGATACATAATGGAGGCAGGGCATTTAACAATTTAACAATAAACTTTATTATCCAAAATGAGTCTGACATCAGTGCACTGAACAGTAAAGTTGAAGTTTATTCAACTTTAATTAAATTCAGTTCCATTCAACTTTATTCC